TCACCCCCAAAGGGTTCAGGGGTGAGCAGTGACCGAAGGGGACAGCTGTGCCCGCGGGTGGCCCTGGCCCCGGCCCTGCCACTGGCCCTGTCACTGTCCCTGTCATGCAGCTCCCTCTCCTGGCTGCTGCACCACCACTGATCCCAGTGACATGGGGGCCCAGGGGGGACAGGGTCACATCACTGCCTCACGGGGGTCCCAGGGAGGGCGAACGGGGTCACACTGCACCCCCAACACCACTGCCCACTGTGGGGGTCCTACAGGGGGGACATGGTCACACTGCACCCCCTAACACCACTGCCCACTGTGGGGGTCATGGAGGGGAAACAGTCACTCTGCACCCCCCAACACCACTGTGGGGGCCACAAGGTTGGGCATGGTCACACCACACTCCCCAGTGCCACCAGGGTGGGACATGGTCACACCACACTTCCAACAGCACTGCCCAGCATGGGGGTCCCAGAGGGTGACCCAGTCACAACTGCACCCGCAAACCCCACTGCTCACCATGGGGGACACAGTCACACCACACCCCACAACGCCCCGTCTGCTGTGGGGGTCCCAGGGGTGACACGGTCACACCGCGCTCCCCAGTGCCACCATGGTGATCCCAGGGGACACATGGTGACATCACCGTGTCCCCCACAGCCCGAGGACATCGGCCAGTCCCCTATGGCCTCCATGCCCGACGGGGACAAAGTCGACCTGGAGGCGTTCAGTGAGTTTACAAAAATCATCACCCCGGCCATCACCCGCGTGGTCGACTTTGCCAAAAAACTGCCCATGTTTTCAGAGGTAACGGCGGGCTGGGGGCTTTGGGAGGTCTGGGGTGGTCTGCCCAGGGTCTGAATCACACCAACCCCCCCAAAACTGCCCCCAAAGCTGCCTTGCGAGGACCAGATCATCCTGCTGAAGGGGTGCTGCATGGAGATCATGTCGCTGCGGGCGGCCGTGCGCTACGACCCCGAGAGCGAGACGCTGACGCTGAGCGGGGAGATGGCCGTGAAACGGGAGCAGCTCAAGAACGGCGGCCTCGGCGTCGTCTCCGATGCCATCTTCGACCTGGGCAAGTCCCTCTCTGCCTTCAACCTGGATGACACCGAGGTGGCCCTGCTCCAGGCCGTGCTGCTCATGTCCTCAGGTAACGGTGATGGGTGGAATGGGGCGAGCGCCCCAGTGCCCGGGGAATCAGAGGGTGGCATCCCAATGCTCAGAGTTCTCAGTGCCCTGGGGCGGTGTTAGGTGGGCACCCTGATGGCAGAGATCCCCAGCAGCTTCAGGGGGAATTGGGTGGGCACCCCCATGCCCAGAGGCTGTGCGTGGGGATTGTTGTGTTGGCACCCCCTTGCCCACAGCCCCCAGCATTTGGAGGGGCATTGGGTGGACGCCCCAATGCCCAAAGTCCTCACTGTCCTGGGGTGTGTTGGGTGGGCACCCCAGTGCCACAGCCCCCAGCATCAGGTGGGCACCCACCCCGATGCCCAGAGTCCTCACTGTCCAGGGGGGTATTGGATGGGCACTCTGATGCCAGGGCCCCCCAACATCTTCAGGGCGTGTTGGGTGGGAAATCATATCACCCTGGTGGATTTGGGGTGTGCAATCCCAATTCCCAGAGCTTCAGGCAGCTCTGGGAGAGCTCCCAGGAGCATGAGGTGGGCACCCCAGTCCCTGTACCCAGGGGCACAGCCTGAGCCTCTTGGTCCCCTGGGGACCCCTGCCAGGCTGATGTGGGTCTGTGGGGTGGGCACCCCAACAGCCAGGGGGTGCGTGGGACACTCAAGCCCTGTGGGAGGGAGAATCCTGCAGATGCTGGACTGGGAGAGGGCCTCTTCCACGGGCAGAGAATGCCAGGACAACGAGGGGTTCAAACTAAAAAAGGGAGATTGTGATGGGGTATTGGGAAAAAATTGCTCTCTGTGAGGGTGGTGAGGCCCTGGCACAGGGAAGTGTCCAAGGCCAGGCTGGATGGGGCTTGGAGCACTCTGGGACAGTGGAAGGCGGCCCTGCCCATGGCAGGGGTGGGACTGGCTGAGCTTTAAGGTCCCTTCCCACACAAACAGGGGATTCCACAATCCCCTGACCATTCCCTGGTTCCCGCAGACCGGACGGGGCTGATCTGCGTGGAGAAGATCGAGAAGTGCCAGGAGACGTATCTGCTGGCCTTTGAGCACTACATCAACTACCGCAAACACAACATTCCCCACTTCTGGCCCAAGCTGCTGATGAAGGTGACGGATCTGCGGATGATCGGCGCCTGCCACGCCAGCCGCTTCCTGCACATGAAGGTGGAGTGTCCCACCGAGCTCTTCCCCCCCCTCTTCCTCGAGGTCTTCGAGGACCAGGAGGTGTAGGGCCGACAGCCCCCCACCCTGTGCCCCCCCAACCCCACTCTGGCCCCCCCAAATCTTTCTCGTCCCCCTGTAAGGACAAGGGGATGCTGTGCCCAGGGTGGGGGTCCTGCTGTGCCCCCCCAACAGCCACCCCCACCCCCGGCCCCAGGACTTGACGAATTTTGTTTGTTTGCACAGGGAAGGGCCCCGACGGTCGAGCGTTCCCTTTATTGTCCTTCTCTTCGTAGATTATTATTTTTTAAGCATTTATTTCCCTCCCTGAGAGGCTAAAATATTAAACTAACTGCACTTTGGAAGGAGGAGGAGGAGGAGGAGGAGGAAGAGCAGGGAGGAGAGGAGGGGGCTCTGGGCTGCACAGGGAGAGGCTGCCCCGGCTGGGGGGCCGTGGCCATATGCACTTTTGGCCGGGCAGCAATTTGGGGGGCTGGGGTGGGGGCCAGGACTCCCCTCCATAGCAGGGCAGGGGCTGGGACCCCCATCCCCCATAGCGGGGTGAGGGCCAGGACCCCTCCCACAGCAGGGCGGGGGCACAGGGGGGGCACAGCGGTGGGGAGGGGGACCCCAGCCCATGGGGTGCAGGGCTGGTGGGGCCCCCCCCAGCCCACTGGGTCTGCCCCGGCTGGGGTGACCCCCCTGTGTCCCCCCTTTATCCCCACATTTGGGGCCAGAATTGGGGTTTTGGGGGTTCTTTTGTCTTTTTTGGGCTGAGATGAGACAATTTTGTGCCAAGCGCCGCGGATGGTGGGCGCTGCAGGACACTGGGGGGGGGGCACTCCCCCCCCAAACCCCCCCAACTTTTCCGTTGTCCTTTTTTTGTTGTTTTTCCCCTTGTCCTCGTGGGTTTTGTCGTGTCCGTCAGGAGTTGCAAAGGCCCCGGAGGCGCCGGTGGGGGGGCGGTGGGTGCCCCCCCCGGGACCCCCAACTGCACTACTGCCCCAGCCCCCCGGCAGCAGCACTTTGGGGGGGCTGCACCCCCCAACCGCCCCCCCAATGCTCCTGGGGGGACAGGGGGCTGGCAGGGGGAATCCCACAGGGGGCTTGAGGTGGGGGGGTGGGGGCACAGCTGCAAGGGGGCACCCGGGAATGGTTTTATCACCTTTTTACCCCCCCCCAAATTTAGGTTTGTGAATTTTTTCTTACCTCAGGCGGAGGCCGAGGGGGGGTGCGGGCCGGGGGGGGGCCGGCAAGGCAGGCCAGGCCCACCTAAGCTAATATATATATATATATATATATATATAAATATATATAAAATATATAATTTTTGTAATTAAAAAAAAATCTTTTTACGGGTCGTTTAAAAGCAGAAAATCCCAACACCAGACACGTCCCCCCCACAGGCACAGTGGGCCGGGCTGGGCTCCCCCCACACCCCAGACTCCCCCCAGCCATGGGGGTTGTGTCGGGGGACCCCGCCAGACCCCTTGCAGCTGGGTTGGGGGGCACAGCAGGGCTGTGGCACCCTGGGGTGCCCCGGGTGGGGGTGCCTGCCCCCAGTCACAAGTACCAGCGCCGGATTTGACCTTGGTGCAAAATGTCTTAAACCCCCACCCAGGGGCCTGGCTTGGGGGGGCCTGGCTCAGGGGTCCCCGGTTTGGGGGTCCCCAGTTTGGGGGTCCCGGCAGCACCGGCTGCGGGCGGTGCTATAGGAGCCGAACACTAACGCCCGCCCTGCGGGGGCACAGGTTTGGGGGTTTGCCCCCCACCCCTGGCAGCAGCGGTCCCAACACGTGCCTTCGGGCCACGGGTGGGGCCGCGGCACCCGGGTGATGCCCCCCACGCCCGCTGGTGCCGTGGCCGTGCCATGTTGCCGCCACGGCCACGCGTGTTGGCGCCGTGGCCACGCGTGTTGGTATCGCACCAGCGCCGTGGCCGTGCCATGTCGGTGCCACAGCAAGGCACGTTGGCGCAGTGACGGCGCCTCGGCCACGCGTGTTGGTGCCGTGTCAGTGCCATGGCAACTCCTGTTGGTGCAATGACGGTGCGGTGCCGTGTCCCCGCGTGTTCCCGCACACGCTCCGTGTGTCACCGCGCGCTCCTGTCGCGACACGGCAGCGCCGTCGCGGGACGTGTCTTAATCAGCCCCCGTGACCCCCGCCCCGAGCGGCCACACGGGGCCCTGGGGCAGCTTGTCCCGGGGTGGGGGGCTCATCACAGCCCCCCCACCCGCTGCCCCCCGCACGCCCCCCACCCTCCACTTCCCCCCACGCCCCCCCGGGCCGTCCCCGCGTCTCCGTCTCGCGTCGCCATCGCACGTCCAGCATCCAGCGTCGGTCCCGGGGGGCCACACCGGTGCCCCCCACCCCTGCGCCACCTCCCCCGGGCCACCCCCTCCCCGCGTCCCCCCCGTCCCCGCGCCCCCCGTCCCCCCCAAGCACATACCTCATGGCTCCCGGAGCTGCCCCTGCCCGCGGGCATCGAGCCCGGCCAGCGCCCGGCCCAGCACAGCCCAGCCCGGCCCGGCTCGGCCTGGCGCCCCACGCGGGGTCCCCCACTATGCAGGGTGCTGAGGGGGGGAGGGGGGGTCGCAGCCGGCGTTGCTGAATGTAGGGGTGCGGGCCGGGGGGGCCGTGGAGCCCCCGTGACAATCACAGTCTGTGACGTGCGATTTTAAACCCTTTTGTGTTTTGGTCAGGATTTTAAAGAAAGATATTTTTATGGTAATTGTTGCTGGTCTATTTTACTATATATTTATGTAATAAATATATGATGAAAAAAAAACCAACCAACCAAACCCCCCCACCCCTCGACCCCCCCCTCCCCCCGTTCTAGACCCACCCCCCCAGCACGGCTGGATCCGGCCTCTGCGTCCCACCCCCGGCGCCAGAATGGGGGTGTCGGGGCGAGGGGACCCCCCGGCGCTGCCAGCGGTGCCGTGGGGGCGGTGCCCGATTTGGGGTGGGGTGGGGGGGGGTCCCAGCATCCTGGTGCCCACCTTGGGGTGAATCCCTGCAAGTCCGACGGGCGCCACGGGGTCGGTGGTGCCCCGGGGGAGGGGGATGTCTGTGTGTCCCCCCGCTGTGGTGTATGTACAGGGGAGTGCGGGGGGCTCCGGGGGGCACTACTGGGCGTCGATGCGGAAGGAGAGCAGCTTCTCGGAGTGGAGGTTGTTGAGGGTGCGCAGGTCCGGCAGCTTCAGCAGCAGTTTGGTGAAGCGCGAGGTCTCGGCCGGGCGCGTCTTCAGCACGAGGGCGCGCAGGGCCCGCAGCAGCGTCTCCTGCAGCTGCTCCACCGATGCCGTGTCCTCCATGCCCGAGCGGTCTGTGCAGGAAAGGGGGTCAGAGGGGAGGAGACACCCCAGTTCAACCCCTAAAACCCCCTAATCCCACTCCAGTGTCACCCCGATCCCAGCACTGAACCCCCTGATACTCCCCTGGTATTACCTCAATGCACCCCAGTTACCCCAATCCCATCCCTGAATGCCCCAAACACCCCACTAACCCCTGATCCCAGCCCAAATCCCCTTGATTCTTTTCCAAACTCCTCTGATCCCAGCCCCAAACTCCTCAATCTCCCCCCAAAACTCCCCAAATCCTCCCATGCCCACCTGCCGAGACGAGCACGACGGCGGTGAAGAGCCCCAGCTCCTCATCGCTGAGCTCAAGGGCGCTGAGCTTCTCGCTGAAGTCGAACATGGCCCCGAGCAGGTCCCCCATGCCCATGGCCCACAGCTCCTCCAGCCCGTACCGTGTGCGGCTCATGAACGTCACCGTCTGCTCCTTCACGTCGAACAGCGACGCGAAGCGAACCATCAGCACCTGTGGGCAGGGGGCAGGACATGGGACAGGGCACCAGGCAGAGTCACAGGCACCACGCTTCATGCCAGGGGTGCCATCGGTGTCCATGCCACAGCTCCCAAATGCGGGGCACTGCCATGCCATGGGGCACCAGACAATGCCAGGGGCACTGTGCCGTGCCATGGGCTCCGTGATCCATATTGTGACCACCAAATGTGGGGTCCCAGGGCACTGTGCCATGCCATGGGCTCCGTGATCCATATTGTGACCATCAAATGTGGGGTACTGGGGCATTGTGCCGTGCCATGGGCTCCGTGATCCATATTGTGACTACCAAATGTGGGGTACTGTGCCATGGGTACTGTGTTTCATGCTCCAGCTCCCAAATGTGGGGCATTACAATGCCATGGGGCACGGGGCTTCTTGTTAGTCCATGGGGCTTCGTGTTAATCCGTGGTCCCCAATTGTGGGGTACCTGGGGCGTCGTGCTCCATGCCACAGCTCCCAAAAGTGTGGCACTGCAGTGCCATGCAGCACTATAATGCCAGGAGCACTGTGCTGCATGCCACAACTCCTGTTTGTGAAGCACTGCAGTGCTGCAGGGCTCCGTGCCAGTCCACAGGGCACTGTGCCACGACAGGGACAGCGTGCTCTGTGCCACACATCCCAAATGTGGGGCACTGCAGTGCTGAGAGGCACCAGGCAGTGCCTCTCAAAAGTGGGGCACTGCAATGCCACAGGGCTCCTGCTGTGTTTTGGTCCACTGTTCCCATGCTCTGGAGCTCCCTGCCAGTCCATGGGGCACCGTGCGATGCCATGGGGCACTCTGGCAGTGTGTGGGGCACCATCGAGCCCTCTCCATTCCGGGACTCACCTCAAAGGTGCCAGCCTTGAGCAGGGTGACCTGGTCATGCTGGGAGAGCGCCTGGAAGCCGGGAATGTGCTTGGCGAACTCAACGACCTCGCGGACAGCGGGGGTGAAGCTGAGGGAGAAATCCTCCCAGATCTCCTGCACGGAGCGCCCGCTGCGGCCGGGGACGTGGCTGTTCATGGGGCACGCCTGCGGGCGACCAGGGGTCAGGGGGGTTCCCCGGGGCTCTGCGGGGCACCCCCGGCCCTGCCGCCGCAGGAGGGAGGGGGCACCGACAGGGGATTAATGCGATTAGCGGCTACAAGAGCCGGGGGGCAGCGGGAGCCCCCGGGCGCTCACCGGCAGCACGTCCTTGGGGCCGCGGGGCCAGGGGCACCCCCGCGGGGCCGGGGGCTCGGGGTAGGCGGTGGGGCACAGCCGGGGCTCGGGGGGGCCGGGGGTCCAGGCGGGGGGCGCGTCCCAGCGCAGAATGCCGCTGTCGCAGGCGGGAGGGGGTCCCAGCTTGTCGTGCGCGTAGATGAAGATCTCCTTGTGCGCTTTGGCCACCTGCGCGATCACGTCCTCGGTGGCCCCCCCGGGGCTGGGAGAGCGGGGCGGTGTCAGCTGCTGGGGGAACTGGGAGAAGCAGGCCGGGGGGGCGAGAGGTGGGGGGCCGGGGGGCGGTGCGTGGCCCCCGCCCGCGGCGGGACCTTCGCCGGGCCCCGGTATCGGCGGTGGGGCGGTGGCCATGCCGCCCATGGCGCTCTGCATCTCCGCCAGCATCCGCTGCTTCTCCCGCTTGGGGATGCGCCCGAAGCGCACGGCTGAGGGGGGACACGGGTGTTAGGGGGACATCGGCGGCAGGCGGTGACCCCCCCTCACCCCAGACCTCCAGAACTGCGGGGAGCAGGGCTGCATCCCTCCCCCGGGCTTGGAGGGGACACACAGCCCATCCCGGGAGGGGACACACAGCCCATCCCGGGAGGGGACACACAGCCCATCCCGGGAGGGGACACGCAGCCTTAAAAATGGGATGACCCGGTCCTGGAGGGGACATAGAGCACTGAACACAAGGGGACTCATCCCGGGAGGGGATGTAGGGACCTAAGCATGAGAAGGATGCACCCGAGGAAGGGACATACAGCCTCGATGTTGGGGGGACCCTGTGTGGGAGGGGAAACACAGCGCTGGCCATGAGGGACCCATCCCGGGAGGGGATATGCAGCTCTGGGCACGGGACAGCCGTGGAGGGGAGTTTTGGAGGGGACACGCAGCCCCACATATGCGGGGGTCCCAGGAAGGGGGGACACATCTCGTGGGACAGGCACAGCACCCAGCACAGACAGGGGGGAGCGGTTCCAGAGGGGAGGTACAGCCCTGGATACATCCCGGGACGGGACCAACCGCCTGGGCACGGGGAATGCCACCCCCAGAGGGAATCCCCGGCTCGGGATGTCACGAGGGTCCCTCCGAGCTCACCATCACGGGACATGCCGACCAGCAGGCACTTCTTGAAGCGGCATTGCTGGCAGCGGTTGCGGTTGATGCGGACGATGGAGCAGTTCTCGTTCTTGAGGCACTTCTTGTACTGGATGTTCTGCTGGATGCTGCGGCGGAAAAAGCCCTGCGGGGCGAGCGGGGGGAATCACTGGGGGTCCCCGCAGTGTGACAGGGGCTCCGTGCCACATCCCCGGCCCCATCCCGGTACCTTGCAGCCCTCGCAGGCGTGGACGCCGTAGTGGAAGCCGGAGGCGACGTCCCCGCAGACCTTGCAGAGCAGCACCATCCCGTTGAGCTCTGCGGGGAAACGGGGGTCAGAGGGGTCCAGGGGTGCGTGCCGCTGGGAGGGGAGACCCCCCGCCACCCACCCGCGAGCCCCACTCACTCGTGACGGTGCTGCCGCCTTTACTTGGCGAGCTGCGGCGCCGCTCGTCCGCGGGGACCGGCTGCACCCCGGGGAAATTCACCGAGGAGTTGTATGAGGAAGAGGAGGTGGAGGAGGATGATGAGGAGGAGGAAGGGGAGCCGTCTTCATGGGGGGCCAGCGTGGCTCCTCCATAGGCGCGGGAATCCTGGAGGGAGCCGGTGGGCGAGGGTGGGAAGTACGTGGGGAAGGGCTGCGAGCCCGACTGGGAGCTGCTGTTGGAGCTGTCGCTGCAGAGGGACACGGGGCTGGTGCGGGTGGGAGAAGCGCCGCTGGAGCCCACGTAGCTGATCACCCCACCTGCAGAGAGAAGGAGCCACTCATGCACCGAGCTGTGCCGGGCTCAGCCTCCCCCGATTCCTGGAGGTGGGAACCTCCGGAGGTGGGTGGGATGCCCAGGGAAGCACCCCGAATCCATCGGCAATCGGGATCCGCGGGCATCCCGCGGAGCCACGCACGCACTGAGCTGTGCCAGGCTCAGCCTCTCCCAGCTGAGGAGGGGGAAACCCCTGGGAGGGGGATCGCAGCCCCAGTTGGGGTGGGATCCATAGGGAACCATCCCAGATCCATGGGCATCCCGATGGGCCACTTAAGTACTGAGCTACACCAGGCTCAGCCTCCCCCACCGGAGGGGGGGCGGTGGGGTGGGGGAAGCCCCCCAGAGGAGAATCGCAGCCCCACGCGGCGTGGGTTCTCCAGGGAAGCACCCTGGATGCATCCCGGATCCGTGGATATCCCGCTGCGCCGCACGTGTGCCGCCCACCCTGAGTCAGGCGCCGCACCCACCGGCCGCCACGGGCGACGGCCCCACGTGGGACGGGGACAGCCGGGTTTATCCGGGTACGTGCCGGCTGGGGACACGGGCAGGGCACCCCGGAATTGCCTGCAGGAGGAATGTGGGCTGGGAACCCTCTGGAGAGGTGAAATCAGGAGGTCACAGGAGTTAGTGCCGCCAATCCTGGCTCCGTGCCTGCAGCACAGCCGGGCTCCCGCCCCACAGCTCCCGGGACAGCCCCACGGCGCAACCACCCGGGACGGAGCCCCCCACAGCACTGGGGTGCCCCCAGTGCAGCCCACCCCATGGCAGTGGGATGCTCCTAGAGCAGGCAACTGGGGGGGGGGGGTAAATCCCCACTGCAGGACTGAGGAGTTGTGTGAAGACCCCCAAAAGTGGGGAGCAGCATGGGGGGGGGGGGGGGGGACACGACACACGCGTGGCCCCTGGCTGAAGTCACAATCGTTGTCACCCCACTCACGGGGCAGGGACAGCAGCACCGGGACACGACTCCGGGCTGCGACACGTGGATGGTGATGTCGGGGACACACGGGATCACCAGGGCCATGTGTCTCCCGCCGCACACGGTGCCGCTGGCACAGATGCCACGCGCCAGAGCCAGCTTGTCACCATCCCCCCCCCCTCACTGATCCACCTCCAAAGGGGGTCACTGAATTGGGGACAGTGGGTCCCACCTCCAGGGCAGCTGATCCTGGGGACCCCCCCGCGCTGCTGAGACACCAAAATAACTGGGGGATCCCCGCACCCCAAAGCCTCGGGACAGCCATTTTAGGGTTTGAGGTGCGGGGATTCCCCAGAAAGGCTTGTCCCAGAGAGAGGGAAACTCTGGTGAGCCCAAACCAGAGGGAACCCCCCCAAACCAGAGGGAACCCCCCCAAACCGCCGCCCCGCAGCCCCCCCCAAGCTCAGGCGGCCTCACGCCGCCGCCCCACGTGCTCCAGCCGCACGTGGCCCCCCGAGACCCCGCCCCTTCACGCTTTGCCACGCCCACCTGTCCCTCATTGGCCAAACTCCGCCCCGCCCCCTCTGGTTGCCCCGGAGACAGCACCGCCCCCCCAATGAGCGGCGGCGTCCCCAGTTCCGTGCGTGACGTCATCGATGATGTCATGCGCCGACCAATGGGAGGGGGCGGGGCGGGGCTGAGGGGAAAACAAACTCCGCACGTGGCAGCGGCGGGGAGGGGGACACGTGCGGGGGGGACACGGGGGAGGAGGGGGGCACCGCCTCCGGTCCCCCCTCCGTCCCTCCCGGTGCGCAGGGAGCCCCGACACGCGCGGCACCGCCTCGGCCGTCCACGGGCTGCCCGCTCCCCGTGGCCGCGGATAGAGACAGCCCCGTCCCGCCGCGGTCCCCTCCGGTCACCCTGACCGGTCCCGCCGCCCGGTACACACGGACTCCTGCGGTCCCGGTTCCTGCGACACCCCGGTGCCGCTGTCCCGGACCCGCTTCACTCCCCTCCGGTTCCGCTGCCCAGGAGACAACAATCCCTGCTCTCACCCTTCCTACCCCTGCGTCCGGCACTCTCCGCCGTTCGGGAATCCTCGGTCCCGGTCTCCGAGACACCCGGGTCCCGCCGTGCTGCCCTGCGGTCCCGCTGCCCGGGACACTCCGGAACACAGATCCCTGTTCTCAGCCTTCCTAACCCCGCGTCCGGCACGCTCCGGCGTTCGGGACGCCCCAGTCCGGCTTTCATTCCTTCTGCCCCGATCACCGGAGCACCCCGGTGCTGGTGTTCGTGTCGCCCCGGTGTGCAAGACGCCCGGTACCGGCGCGCAGCCCTCCCTACCCTCCTCCCGGGGACACCCCGGCCCCGTTGTCCGAGCCTTACCCCGCTCTGCAGGACCCCCCGGTCCCGGTAGGACGGAGCCCCGTTCCGGGACGCGGTCCCGGTGCGCATCCTGCCCGGTCGGGCGTGCGGGACCCCTCGGTCCCGGTGTCCGGACCCCTCCAACTCGCGTCTCAGCGCGCAGCCCCTCTCCGCGGTCCCGGGGCGCTGCCCCACGATCCGCTCCGGTGCTGGGAACCGCTGCCGGTGCCGGTGCCCGCACGGTGGTCCCGGGGGTTGGGGGGCTCCGGCGGGGCACTGACCTGTGCTGCCGGCCTCGGGGGCCGCCATCCTGTCCCGGCCCCGTGAGCCTCCCGGAGCGGAGCCGCGCCGAGCCGTGCCGCGCCGCCGCCCGGTGCGGGTGTTGTGCGCCCGCCGCCCGCCCCGCCGCCCCCCGCACCGGCCGCGGCTGCGCACTGGGCCGCACGCGGCGCCGCCGCCTCCCCCATGTGATTCCCGGGGACAGCCTCGTGCCCCAGTGACACACTTTCCGCCGGCGGCCCCGGCCCCGCGCCGCCGCTGGGGAGCCCGGGCTCGGCGGGGACCCCAGCACCGGGGCCGCCTGACGGGCCGCGGGGACGGTACCTGCGCCGGTGTTTGCACCGGGGAGCCCCGTCAGGCAGCGCAGCGCGGTCCCCGCACTGGGAACCCCCGGGCGCGGCAGTGTCCCCTGCACTGCGGACACTTGCGTGCAGCACTTGGCACATCTGTCACCTGGCACGACACTGTCCCCCGCACTGGGGACCCCCAGGCACGGCACTTGGCAGCCCTGTCGCCTTGCACAGTGTTGTCACCTGCACTGGGAACACCTGAGCGTGGCACTGGCTGTCCCCTGCAGCGGGGATGTCCAGGCTCAGCACTGTCACTCTGCGTGGCACCTTCCCCTGGGGATACCTGGGCACCGATGCCACCCCCCACAGCACTGGGGACACCCAGGTACTTCTGTCACCCCTTTAACTGTGTCCTAGGGACACCTAGGTCCCCCTGTAACCCCGCGTGGCATTGTCCCCTGCCCTGGGGGTACCCAGCTATCCCTGTCACCCCACACGGCATCGTCTCCCGTGCTCCAGCATCGCAGCCTCCCCCGACACAGCTGCCCCCCTGCCCGCTGCCCCTCCCGATGTCGCCCTGCCCAGCCGCTGCTGTCCCCACGCTGCCCGCGGCGGGTGCCCGCTGTGGCACGTGCCTGGCACCCACGTCCCAGCCCGGCCCCACTCGTGGCTGCCGCGGGGGCTGCGGCAGGCAGCGCTGCCAAGGCAGAGTCGGTGGCAGATCTGGGTCGCGGCGCCGGCCGGGGTTAGCCCAGCCCGGTGGCACCGGGGGCTCCGTGGCTGCTCCTAATCACGCCACGGGGAAGGTTTTGGGGTGCCAGCACCCTCCCGGGTGCCAAGTGCCGGGCGCTGCCCTGGCCCCCAGCCAGGAGGAGAAGGAACAGAGCACGGGTGTGCCAGCGCCGGGAAATCCTCCGAGCTAATCCCACGGGAGGGGAGGCCTCCGGTGCCCCGGCTGGGCGAAGTACCGGGGGAGGGACACCGGAGCTCTGCACCCCAAAGACCCCCTGGAACCCCATGGGTGATTAGACCACCCTCGGCTGGGGGTGTCCCGGGCTTGCTGGGGGTAGTCCGGGATTCTGGGGCTCCCCACGGCACTGGGGCACCGGGAACACCCCGACACGCCACAGGACGTGCCCCTGCCCTGAGTCACGGGGCGGTTGCGCGGTGCCGTGGCACCTCCGGCCGGGAGAACGGCGGCAGCTCCCGGAAGGATGTGTGGGGCCAGGCTGCCACGGGAACGGGGGACCCGTGTGGGGGGACACCAGTCCTGGGGTGAAGGGTCCCGCCTGCCCGCAGGGCCGTGCCCGGACCGGGCAGGTGCCCCCGCAGCTCGTCGTTCCCCTCCCGGCACGTTCCCGGTGATTATCCGTGACTCAGCTGCGCGTCTGGACTGGGAAAACATCCCCGCGCACGGCGCTGCGGCACACAGCGCTGTGATGCTCGCCTGAAATCCCGATCCCCCAGGAATCCCCGGGACCGGAGCGGGGCTGTGAACCCGGCACGGGGGGTCCTGGTGAAGGGGCTGTGAGCAGGGACCCCAGGCTGGGCACAGCTGGGATATTACTGCGATATCCTGACTCTGGGACCACCCATGGGGAGCAGAGTGAGGGAGAGGGGCCACCAAAGCCACCGGGACAGGGGGATACTGCAGCTGACGTGAGCCGGGAACACCCCCCAGATGCCAGGTCTGTGCCTCGGGGGGCTCCCCCCGGCTCTCTGTGCACCCCGTCATGGCAGTGCCCCTGCCAGCCAGTCCATGGCGCGGAGGGGACACCTGAACGCCCCTCAAGGTCGTCACATGCCACCAGATTCACCCGTAAATCCTGCAGCTGCACGGATCTCTGCACCCCTGCACCCCCAAACCCTGCACCCCCTGTATCCTGCACCTCCCAGGGTCTCTACCATCCAGATCTGCCCCATCCCGTCGTGCCAGGACCCCGTGGGGTACCCCCACCGGCCGTGGGGTGCCCGGAGTGTCGGGGGGACACACACATCACCCCACCCGTGCCATCGGCTGTGCCCCTGCCCTTCCCATGCCGTACCCCCCCAGATGCACCCCCTGCCCCCTCCCTCCCCACTTCAACAGCCCCACGGGGGATGCAGTCTGCATCTCCCTCCCCTGCCACTGCTGCCGGGGGCAGGAGGCAGCGGAGGGGCGGTGGGGCCGGTGCCGGTGCCCGGCGGTGGGGCCGGTGCCGGTGCCCGGTGTCGGTGCCCGGTGCCGGTGCCGGTGCCGTGGCCGTGCCGCGTGACGCTGTCCCCGCTTCCCGCCCGGCGCCTGCGTGCCGAAGGTTTATTTTTACTCGGGGCTGGAGCCTTGTTTACCTTGTTGAACCTTTTCCAGGAAAAGGGGGGGCGGGGAGAGGGGGGTGTCTCCGCCGGGAGCGGGGGTTCGTTCTTGCATATCGCCCCCGCCGCCCCCAGGCTGGACACCGGGGGCTGACACGGGACAGGGCTCCCAATCCTGCACCCCCAGACCCACTCGGACACCCCCAGACCCACCGTGGGGTGCAGCTGTTCTGTGGGTTTGGGGACCCAGCTGTGTCCCCGTGTCACCCTACACACATCGAACCTCAGTTTCTCCACCCGTAACTGTACTTTGGGGGGCAACCAGAGGTACTGGGTGACACTCAGTTTGGGGGTCCTGTACCCCTTACCCCCCTTTCATCCATCCCCAATGACGGCACTGTAGGGGAAGGGTGGGGCAGGACACCCAGAGCTGCTGTGGGGGCCAGGAGAGTGCTTGGAGGGTTGGGGTTTGGGTGTTTTGGGGGTGTTTTCCTGCAGGGAGCAGCCCTGGCTCGGTCCCTGGCTCTTGGCTGGGGCAGCAGCTCCCGCTGCCAGAATAGTCCTCCCTCCCCGGGAACGGGAAAAATCGGGTAAACAAGGCATTCCTGGCCCCGGGCGGGGCACCCCACGGCAGGTGGGGGCACCCCAAGACAGGCGGGGACACCCCATGGTGTTCTGGCACTGCGGAATGGGGCAGAGCGGTGTTGGGGTGCAGAGAGACCCCAGGAAGTGCAGGATCTGGGGGTGCAGGGGATACAGGGACCCCCCAGGAGGGTGCAGGAGTGCAGGACTGGGGGAGCACGAGTGCTCAGATTCGTGGAGGTGCGGGATTTAGGGATGAATGCACCCCGGGAGCTTGCAGGGACCCAAAAAGGAATACAGGGTCAGGGGGTGTAGGAAGCCCACGGGGATTCAGGGATGCAGGAGAGATGCACTGAGAGGGTTTGGGAGTGTCAGGACCCCAAGAGGATTCAGGGGCACAGAAATTGGGGCGTGACATGGGGGTGCAAAAGGGGTGCAGGACCCCTGGGGGAGGTGGGACCCCAGTGTATTCATCATGTTGGGGGGGTCTGGGGAGGACCCCCAAGGGGAGTAGCCATGGCAGGTGGGGATCCCACTCACCTGCCCCCATCCCCCAAGATCTCACGTGCTGATTTTTGGATGTTTGTGTTCCCTCTGCAGCCCTGGAACCCCACGGGTGGGGGGGCGAAGTGGGGTAGGGGGCGGGACAGCAGCGGGACCTCCTTCAGCCTCCAGATCCCCCACCTCAGACCCACCACCCGGGAACCCTCCTCCCCTTTCCCCTTCCGCTGGAACCCCATGTTTGACCTTCCCAAAAGTGAGGAAGTGAGGAGGGGGCGACCCCATTACCCCCTCCCCCCTACCCACAGGTCACAGAGAGGCCACGGCGTCGCGGCCAGCGGCCGGGTTGGCATCTGTGCCAGCCCATGTGAGCGGGCTCCCTCCTCCTCCTCCTCCTCCTCCTCCTCTTCCTCCTCCTCTCCATGCGCATCACGTGGCGCTGGCATGTGCGCCCTGCTCCATTTTTAGCGCCAGCAGCCTCCGTGCTGCAGAGCCATGTGCGGCCGGGCTCCGGTCCGCACGTGTGCCTGCCGCAGCGGGCACCGGCACCGGCCCGGGCACCGGCACCGGCACCGGCCCCGGCACCGGCACCGGCACCGGCCCGGGCAGGGCAGCGCGGGCACGGCGGGGACACGGCACCCGTGTGTGCGGATACGGACCTGTGTGTGTGTGTGTGTGAACGGGGCTCTGTGTGTGTTTGAGCACTGTCATGGGAGTGAGCAAGGTCACACGTGTGTGTGAACATAGTTGTGCGTGTTGGAGCACTGTGGTGTGTGTGGACATGGCTCTGTGTGTGTCAGCATGGTCATATGTGTGTGAACATGGCTCTGTGTGTCAGCATGGTCACACGGGTGTGAACATGGCTCTGTGTGTGTCAGTATGGTCATATGTGTGTGAACATGGCTCTGTGTGTGTCAGCATGGTCACACGGTGTAAACATGGCTCTGTGTGTGTCAGCATGGTCATATGTGTGTGAACATGGCTCTGTGTGTGTCAGCATGGCCACACGGTGTAAACATGGCTCTGTGTGTGTCAGCATGGTCACACGTGTGTGAACATGGCTCTGTGTGTGTCAACATGGTCATATGTGTGTGAACATGGCTCTGAGCACAGTCATGTGTAAGAACGTGGTAACGTGTGTGTGTGTGTGTAAACATTGCTCTGTGTGTGTCAGTATGGTCATATGTGTGTGAACATGGCTCTGTGTGTCAGCATGGTCACACGTGTGAACATGGGTCTGAGCACAGTAATGTGTGAGAACAGTCATGTGGGTGTGTGTTTGTGAACATTGCTCTGTGTGTGTCAGCATGGTCACACATGTGTTACCATGTCTCTGTGTATCAACACACTCATGTGCATATGGGTATAGCCACACGTGTGTACAACCACAGCCATGTACATGTGTGAACACAGCCACACAGCCACGCTTATGAACATAAGAACAGCCGTGCACGTGTGTGCACGTGACCACGCGTGTGCACAACCGTGGCTCTGTGTGTTTATGAGAACGGCTGCACACATGTATAAACACAGATGTCTGTGAGCACAGCTGCGCAGGGGGACAGGCCCTGCCACCCCTGGAGGTGACCACGGCCACACGTGTGCATGTGCACAATGGCACAGCGACTCTCCGTGTCTGAACAACACGCACACATGTGCACACGCTGCTGGGGACAGCTGCTGCCAGGGCTGGATGTGACCATGGCACAGCAGGAACCTCGGAGGGGCTTCCCCAGTGCCACACCGTGGGGGTGGCACCACCGCTGTGACCCGGGCACCAGGAGTGGGGGCACCCTGATGCTCACCATGGGCTGGGTGAAGGGGGATCTCCCCCCGCGGGTGTTTGTGTGTCCCTGAGCGCAGCTCTGCGGAGAGGCACGTCCCCCACGTGTCCCCTGTGCGTCCCCAGCACGTGCCACGCGTGTCCCCTGTGTGTCCCCGGTGACACGGCCCCGTGTGCTGCGGGGGGTGGAGTTTCAGCCGGGAGAAGGGGAAATGCTCCTCCGTGTGTGTATATACGTGTACATACATGTCCGTGCATGCCCTTAGGTGTCCATACGTGTCCCGTGGGGCTGCAGTCCGGGCTGTGCGTGTGCATACGTGTGCATGAGTGTGCATGAGTGTGCATACCTGTGCTCTGGGACTGCAGTCGGGGGTGCACGGGCTGCAGTATCTGCGGGTTGCGCCGGTGCTGCAGTGGGGGCTGCAGTCGCTCCCTGCAGGGGGACACGCGTGTGCGTGTCCGTGTACGTACGAGTGTGCTGGAGCTGCAGCCTCCGCAGAGGGGGTGCTGCGGATTTCTGTGTGTGTGTGTGTGTGTGTGTGTGTGTGTGTGTGCACGTTCTTGCACACGTCCGGCAGGAACCGCAGAGCTCTGTGTGTGCACGGGGGAGGGGGTTCAGCCCCCGTGGGGGGGTGTGCGGCTATGGGGAGATGCGGACCCCCAGAATCACAGCACAGCCACCCCCTCTCGGCCCGCCCCGCCTGGGGGGCTGATGGCGGTGGGTCCCTTTGTGTCGTGTCCCATCCCCCCAGCGCGGAGGTCTCCCCGCCCCGCCGTGTCCCCTCCCGCCGCGGGACCGGCCCGTGACCCGAACCCCCCCGTGGGGCGGGCACGGAGAGCCGGTACCGCCACTCTCGGGGGCCCCCGAGCGGCCGCCCCCGGTACTGCGGCGCGGGACCCCCGCCTCACGCGTGTCCGCGTGTCGCGACCACCCCCCCCCACCCCCCCCGGCCCGGGGGAAGCGGCGCGGGTGGGCACCGCCCCGGGGGTCCCCAGGCGGGGACCGGCCCCGCTCCTCACCCCCGGGGATCCCACCGCCCCCACGGCCGCCGGCGCATGCGCGCCGAGCCCCGTTCGCCGGTACCCGGGGTCCCGTGCCCGGTACCGACCCCCGCCCCGCCGCCCCCCCGCGCGGCTCATTCCCCCGCGGGTCATCCCCGGGGCAGGGGCCGCTCCGCGCCGATGCCCCCGGCGGCCCCCGCGCCGCCGCCCCGCCGTGCCGGCGGGCGGTAACGGGGCCCGGCCATGCGGTCCACGGCGTTCCGGGGGGGCGGGCGGCGGCGGCCCGAAGGGGCGGGCGGGGAGGAGGAGGAGGAGGAGGGGGAGGAGGGGGAGGAAGGCCCCGCTCCGCCGGCCCGGCGGCCCCGGGCCCCGCCGCCGCTGGGGGCACACACGGGCCGCGGCTGCGGGGTGGCGGAGCGGGAGCGGAGCGGGGCCGCGGCGGGGCCGGCGGCCGGCGGGGGCAGGGCCGCGGCGGGGGATGCGGGCGGGCTGCCCGGGGAGGCGGCGGCGGCGGGGCCGGGAGCGGGGCCGGGGCCGGCAGCGGGGCCCGCGGAGCCGGGGAAGCGGCGGCCCGCGGCCCGCGCAGCGATGGGCGCCGGCGGAGGGTCGCCCGGGCAGGCCGCCTGCCTGCGGCAGATCCTGCTGCTCCAGCTGGACCTGATCGAGCAGCAGCAGCAGCAGCTGCAGGCCAAGGAGCGGCAGATCGAGGAGCTCCGGGCCGAGCGCGATACGGTACGGCGGGGGAATGGGGGTGGGGAGCGGGGGGGGGGGCGGGAATGCGGCGTGGAAGGGGTTAACTCCCGCCAAGGTTAACTCCTCCTTGAGTTTAACCCCCACCCCCCCCCCCAGATTTAACCCATTCCCCTGTGGGGTGACCCCCCCCAGGGTTAACTCCCCCTTAGGTTTAACCTCTCTCGTGTTTAAGCGACCCCCACGCTAGGGTTAACCCCCCCCCAGGTTTAACACCCTCCTATGGGGTCACCCCCACCATGGGGTGATCCCCACTAAATTTAACCAGCTCTAGCTTTAACACCCCTCCCATAGAGTGATGCCCCCTCCTCTTAGGGTTAATGGCTCCCCAACACCACCCAGGGGTCCCTGGGACTGTGGTGGGATTCTGCCCACCAACAAGAAAGTTCTCACTCCCTGTGACACCCAAGGGGTTAATGCAACCCCCATTTTTGGGGGGTAATGCCTCTCTCTTTGAGGGTTGATTTCACTTCTTCTTGGGGGTTAATTCCATCCCCTCAATGCTTAATTTACACCCCTTATTGGGGTTAATATCCCCCTTGTTGGGGTAATACCCCCCTTTTTGGGGGTTGATTTAAGCTCTGTTTTTTTTTTCAGTGTCCTGCTTGGGGGTTAATGTACCCCCTTTTTTGGGGGTTAATTTTACCACCTCCTTGGGGGTTAATTCTGTACCCCATGGGAGTTAATGCCATGCACCTTTGAGGGTTAATTCTGTGCCCCCTCTTTGGGGGTTAATGCCCCCCTCTTTGGGGGTTAATTCCATCCCCTTGAGGGTTAATGTCCACTTCTCTTTGGCGGTTAATTCTGCACCCTATGGGGGTTAATGTCCCCCTTTTTGAGGGTTAATTCTGCTCCCCTCGAGGGTTAATGCCCCCCTTTTTTGGGGGTTAATGTCCCCCCCATAGGGGTTAAGGTCCAACCGCCGTGTCCCCCTAGGCCTTAGTGCACCCCCTTGGGGGTTAATGCGCCCCTCATGGCAGTTAACCTCCTCCCCCCGTGGCACCCCAGGGGTTAATCCCTCCCCGTGGCCTTACGGTTCTCCCCTCGTGGTGGAGGCCCCTGGGGGGGTTAACGTGCCTCCCTTGGGGGGGTTAACGTGCCTCCCTTGGGGGGTTCACGACCGCCGCTGGCACTCTAGGGGTTAATGCCCCCCCCCCTTACTGGGTAATCCTGTTCTCCCTCCGTGGCACTCCAGGGGTTAATACCCCCTCTTTGAGAAGCAATTCTTTCCGTGGGGGGCATCGCCCCCTCCCCGAGGTACCCGGTGGGTACAGAACCCTCCGGGGGGGTTCATGCCCCCTCCCCAAGGGGTTAAACACCCTCCAGGGGCAATTCTCCCCCCACCCCCCCATTATGGAGGTTTCTGCCGACCGCAGGGCTGGGCTCCCCCTCGGGGGTCGCGGGTGCCCCCGGGGGTCGCAGCCCCCCCCGGACAAAGCGGCGGGGGCACAAAGGGCGGGGGCGGGGCGGGGGTTAACGGGCCGCCGCCCGTTACCGCGGCGACGGGCGGGGGGGGGGCCTTAAAGGGGCCGCGGGCACCGGGCGGGACACGGCCGAAGGGACGCGCCCTGCTGCTCGGGCCGGCTGTACACCCGTCCCGGAGATTTGGGGGTACTCACAGCCACGAGAGGCTGCCGGCTTTTGGGGGGACACTGTGGGGTCCCCACAGCTTCAGCTGTGCTCCTCCCCCCGCCCCCACCACGTGTGTCCTGTGTCACCCCAGAGATGCCATGTGTGCCCCCACCTACTTGTATGCCCCCCCAACATTGCCCTACCTGCGTTGTCCCCCCATGGGTGTTGTGTCACCCCATGGATGCTGTGTGTCCCCCCCCCCCCACAGCCATGGGTCACCCCCCTGCCAGCCCCACGGCGCTGTGGCCCTGTGCCATCAGCGGGGTGGCCGTGCCCAGCTGCAGTGGCAGTGTCAGCAGTGGTGGCCCCAGTTTGTGGCAGGAAGGACGGGGACACACCACGTGATGTCACCGCAGGCAATGCCGCGTCCCCCAACATGCAGGAGCCACTGCGGCAAGTCCATGATGGCACTTCAGGGACTGCCCTGGTACAGCCTTCCGGGGTGACACTGCTGGGGACATGGGACTGCCACACCCTGGGTGCACTGGGCTGTCCTCCCCAAAGCTGGGTCCCCCCAAAACCGCTCCTTTTGGGGGTGCTGGGACCCCCCCAACTCTGCTCTCCAAAGCAACCCTTCTAAATGGTGCAACCCTGGCTGGGGGCAGGTGACCATGGGCAGGGGTCACCATTGCAACCCCCCCTCGCCATCCTGCATCCTTGGCGAGGATACACAGAGGGTGGGACCCCCAAATTCTCTGGTTTCTGCTGCCCATCTCTGGAAGTATTCCAGGCCAGGTTGGACCGGGTTTGGAACAACCTGGGATAGTGGAAAATGTTCCTGCAGCAGGAGAAGCGGCGGGAGAGTGGCCATTTTGTGCCATTGGACATCCAGTGGCAGCTGCCCCGGGGTGCCCTTGGGGGTGACCCCAGCCCGAGGTGAGCCCCCCCTCACCTGCCTTGCAGCTCCTGGCACGGATCGAGCGCATGGAAAGGCGGGTGCAGCTGGTGAAAAAGGACAGCGAGCGGGAGAAGCACCGCATCTTCCAGGGCTTTGAGGTGGATGAGAAGCCGGAGGCAGAGGCATGTGAGAAGTTGCCTTTGGAGTGTCCCCAGGACCTGCTGGAGCCTCCCCCGACCCTGCAGCCCAAGCACTTCCCCTATGGCAGGAACGGGAAGGGGCATAAAAGGTACAGAGTGCATGGGGGGCTGCGTGGGGAGAAGGGGGGACACTCCCTATGGCTTCACCCTCTGTTTGTGGGGCTGGCACTGCCCAGCAGCTTTTGAGGTGTTTGGAGGGGCCACCCAGCACCAGGAATGCATCCCTGTGTCAAGGAGAGCCTCAAAAAAGCCTGTGTAGGGCGTGCAGGGTCCCAAAATGCCAGGGAAGCCCTTTCTGTGAACTGCTTAAGTCTGGCCCTGGTGCAGCTGCCCTGGTTTGGGGGTGTCACGAGCCCCCCACAGCATCCCTGGTGCAGGGTGAGGATCCATATGCCTGGCTCAGTTCTTCTTCCTCTTGCAGGAAGCCAACGTTTGGGAGCGCGGAGAGGAAGACGCCCGTTAAAAAACTAGTGTCAGAGTTCTCCAAAGTGAAGAGTAAAACTCCAAAACACTCCCCGGGGAAGGAGGAATCGGGCGGCTCCTTGGCTGAAACTGTTTGTAAACGAGAACTGCGGAGCCAAGAGACTCCGGAAAAACCCCGGTCGCTCCTGGAGACCCCACTCAGAGCATCAGCCCCTCCCAAGGGCCCTGGCACCCACCCCAAGGAGAAGGGCTTTGTCAGCGAGGCCGACGACCTGCCCTATCTGTCCACCACAGAAATGTACTTGTGCCGCTGGCACCAGCCGCCCCCATCGCCGCTGCGGGAGCCTTCTCCCAAAAAGGAGGAGACTGTAGCAAGTAAGGACGGAGAGAACGATGGAGAAGCTGCTGGGGCTGAGCCAGCCTGGGAGCAGGGCTCAGCACCCTCGTTCTGCATCTGGGAAAGGGCTCCCAGATTGCCAAAGGGAGTGCCCGAGGCACTGGGGAAGGTGCAATGCTGCTGGCTCCTTCCACTGCGGTGGGTGCCGGCTCTGGGCTCTCCCAAATCTCATTTCAGGATCACTCTGCTCTGGGCAGGGCTCCTGGCTGGTGTCTGTTGGAGCAAGCGGTGAAGCAACTTCCTGTGGGTGGGTGGGAAATGTGTCTCTGGCTCATGCCATGGTGACACAGCATTGGGGTCACCTGCTGTCCCCAAATCTGCTGCTTGTCCTGCCTTGAGCCCAGCGAGGTTGGTGCTGGCGATGGGAACTGGGCTGTGCCAGGTGGCTCAGCACGGACAGAGCCTGGCACATCCCTGGGAGTGGCTCAGGTTTGCTTGTGTGCTGCACCAAGGGACTGGAGAGGAGCTCTGCTGTCCCGTGGCAGCCCACTGCTGGCTCAGGGTGGGGATTTGGGGCATGCCAAGCCGTGCTCCAAGGGGAAGGACGGGCTGGAAGGGAGTGGGGAGGTGGTGGGATGGGGCAGGGGCTGTGGAGTAACACCCTTCTTGTCCCTCAGTTCCGTCTTGGAGGGACCATGTCGTGGAGCCCCTGAGAGACCCCAACCCCTCCGACATCCTGGAGGTACGTGAGCCATCGGAGCTGGCAGTGCCACAGGGGCTTTCCAGGCTGTGCCACACGTCCAGAGCTGGTGGCATCTCATCCCCTCATCCAGCATAAACCCCGTCTGTGGTAGGGAGGCTGAGGTGGGGGATCTGGCCCTGGGATGATGCCCTGATCCCTGTCCGGTGTTGTTGCAGAACCTGGATGACAGCGTCTTTTCCAAACGGCACGCAAAGCTGGAGCTGGATGAGAAACGAAGGAAAAGGTTGGAGCAAAGGGAGCAATGGGTATCTGGAGTCCCAGTCTCCCAGGGGAGGGTCCCAGGTGTCACCTAGAGCAGGGGGCAGGGCAGGGTCCAGCTGGGATGGGCACCAGGAATGCTGCAGGAGGAGGGATGCTTTCACATCACTGGCAGCCAGTGCAGCCCTGTGATTGCCTTTGGGGAGTCTGGCACTGCCCGTGGCTCCTCACTTTCCCAGCCATCCTATTTTCCAGGTGGGACATCCAGCGGATCAGGGAACAGAGAATCCTACAGCGGCTGCAGCTCCGAATGTACAAAAGGAAAGGGATTCAGGAGTCGGAACCTGAAGTTACCTCATTTTTCCCTGAGCCAGATGATGGTGAGGCTTGGGAAGGGGGTGTCGGGGTGGGGGTGCAGATGAGGGGTCTCACACACTCTGGTGTCTCTCCACAGTGGAAAGTTTGCTCATCACCCCTTACCTGCCCGTTGTCGCCTTTGGCCGGCCCTTGCCCAAACTGACCCCACAGTGAGTACTGCAGGCGGGAAGGGATGGGGCTGTGGGGTGCCAGTGTCCCTCCTCGCAAGCCACCCTGCCCATTTTGGGTCGGGACGGTGCTGCAGTGACACCAGCTGTGCCCACAGGAACTTCGAGCTGCCGTGGCTGGATGAGCGCAGCCGCTGCCGGCTGGAGGTGCAGAAGAAGCAGACGCCACACCGGACCTGTCGGAAATAAGGGAGATGCTGGGAGCTCCAAACACCTCCAGGAGGCTCCGTATGTCCTCGGGGGCTCCGAACACCTCTGCGGCACCAGAAGCTCTGCCATCACCGGGTCACCACCAGCTGCTGCCTGCTCCGTGCTGACGGATGTTTTCATTCTTCTGCGATCCCAGTTTTGTTCGTTTGGGTTTGGAACGTTTCCCGGACTCATCCCCCGCACTGGCACCAGCTTCCCAGCACCACTGGCCAGCAGCTTCACTCCCGGGGGCAGCGGGAGGATCCCGGCCCATCCTCGAGTCCCCCGTGTGCTGCCCCTGCACTCCACAGCCTGTGGCCTTGGGATCTGGGGCTCTTGGGATCGCCAGCACCAGATCCCGTGTCCGGGGGTGCCGCATCACCCGGGACTCACCCGCTGCTGCCTTCGTGTTGTGTTCAGTTAGCAGGATAAACAGCGGATTGTGTTGGAGCTGGCTGGGAACTGGGACGCGCCTGGGATTCTCTTTTGGGAGGTTTTCCCCCCTCTTTGGTGGTTTTCCTCTCTGGAGCGGGGTTGGCAGAGGCAGAGGGGAAGAGTTAAAAAGCAAAAATTTTTTTTTTTTTTTTTTTTTTTGTGAAATAGAAACCCTGTGCGCACAATTTGGGGGGGGTTAATGGTTTTTTAAAATGTAATTTAAATGTTTTGAGGCGGGCGAGGGGTTTGCTGTGAGGGGGGCCGATTATTGCCTGTCCGAGCCCCTGGGTGCTGCTGGACCCTCTTGGTGCTGGACGGGTGGGGAGGGGCTCTGTGTGTCCCCCTTTTTCCTGTTTTTTCTCTCTATCTCCCTGTTTCCTCTTATCTCACACCTTTTTCCTCACCTTCCCCCCCTTTTTCCACATTTTTTCCTCCTTTTTCCCCCCCTACACTGAGCCCGTGCCCCCCCCAGTCTTATCCCCCCATTGCCCCCCTCTCTATAATTAACCCCGAGCTTATTGAACGCCAGAAAACTCGTTTACAAAAAAAAAAAAAAAAAAAAAAAGCTTAGAAAAAAAAATTTAAGAAAAACAAACTTTAAAAAAAAAAAAAACTTAAAAAACCCGGAAATTGTTAAAAAGTCGATAAAGTTCCAAAACCACCGCGTTCTAAACAAATGTTACGGGAGGGGGCGGCGTCACTCGCGGACACGCCCGCTCGCTGGTTTTATTTTATTATTTTTTATTGCTTTTCGTTGTTTGGTTTGGTTTGGTTTTTTTTTTTGGGTTTTTTTTTTTACAATAAACAAGGAAAAGGCCGCTTGGTGCTGGTGTTTTCCCTCCCCCCCCCATATTTACCCGCCTTCGGGCGTGACGTCATTTCCGCGGCGCGGTGACGTCACCGGCGCGGGCGGCGCGCGCCCCCTGGCGGGCGGCGGTACCGGCACCGGCCCCGCCGCGCGCGCCGCTCCCGTGGTGCCCCGCGGCCAAGATGGCGGACCGGCGGCGGCAGCGCGCCTCGCAGGACAGCGAGGACAGCGAGGGCTCGGCGGCCTCCGACAGCGCCGGCTCCGCGCCCGGCTCCCCCCGCTCCGCCCGCTCCCGCTCGGCCTCCGGATCCCGCTCCCGGTCCCGGTCCGGCTCGCCCCGCCTGGCGCACCGCCCGCCGCGCGGCGCCGCGGGGGCCCTCGGTGCTGGGCCGCGGGGCCGAGGGGCCGAGAGCGGCGGTGGGGCGGGGGGGAAGAGCGCGGCCGAGTCGGAGTGTGTGAGTGAGGGGCTGGGCGAGCCTCGGGGACGGGGGGCGCCGGTGCCTGACGGTGGGCGGGGGGAAGGCGGGGAGCCTGCGGACACTGAGGGCAGCCAGGGGGCTGAGGGGTGTTCCGGTGTCCGGGAAAATGAGGGAGGGGGCTGAGGGGTGTTCTGGTGTCCGGGGAAACGAGGGAGGGGGCTGAGGGATGTTCCGGTGTCCGGGGAAATGAGGGAGGGGGCTGAGGGGTGTTCTGGTGTCCGGGGGAGTCAGGGCGAATTTGGGGACCCCGGGGAAACGAGGGAAGGGGCTGAGGGATGTTCCGGTGTCCGGGGGAGTCAAGGCGAAGTTGGGGTCCCTGGGGAAACGAGGGAAGGGGCTGAGGGATGTTCTGGTGTCTGGGGGAGATGAGGGAGGGGGCTGAGGGATGTTCTGGTGTCCGGGGGAATCAGGGCGAATTTGGGGTCCCTGGGGAAACGAGGGAGGGGGCTGAGGGATGTTCTGGTGTCCGGGGGAATCAGGGCAAGGTTGGGGACCCCGGGGAAATGAGGGAGGGGGCTGAGGGATGTTCTGGTGTCTGGGGGCCCCGAGGGGAAGGCAGGGGGACACTGAGGACCCAGGGCAGGGAGGGGGCTGAGAGAGGGGTTCTGGTCTCTAAGGAGGTCCTTGGGGTGGAGTGAGAGGCCTGGGGGGTTCTGGTGTCGGGGGGACTGATATTAGGGTCTGCGGGGTGTGGGGACACTGGGGACAGAGTGGGGAGCTGAGGGAGCACCAGTTTGGGGAACTGGGGGAATTGGGCTGAGCCCCCCCATAATGTGTGTGGAGAGCTGGGTTGGGGCAGCCTCAGGTGGGGTGGGCACTGCAGCCCCCCAGGAGCGGGCAGGGGGCTTTGCTGTGGTTCCCTGTGTGTGCCCCGTGGCTGGATCACTGAAGTCTGAGATCCTGACCCTGCTCCTGGGGTGCTGTCCCTGCTCCTGGGGTGCTGTCCCTGCTCCTGGGGGGCTGTCCCTGCTCCTGGGGTCCCTGCAACAAGGGCAGGTGTGGGGTGGGTGCTGCTGTCTCCCCCCACCATGCAGTTCTGCTCCTGCAGTTCACATCCAGCTGCAATTCCCTCCTGGTTTGGGTTCTAATGGTGGTTATTTCCAGCTCTTTCCTGTTTTAGATTCCAGGGCTGGTTATTTCCAGCTCCCCCTGACTCTCTGGGTGTTTTTCTGTGGTGGTTTTGGGTTTATCTGGTCACCTTGTTCAGGTTGTTTGTGCTCTGGGGTTGTTTTTTCTGCACAGATGGGTTGATCTTTGTCTTAATGCTGGAATCATGGAATGGTTTGGTTTGCAAGGAGCCTTAAAGCTCATCCAGTTTCACCTTCTACCATGGGCAGGGACACTTTCCACTATCTCAGTTTAATCCAAGCCCTGCCCAACCTGCCCTTGGACACTTCCAAGGATGGGGCAGCCTCTGGGCAGCAGTTTTGCTGAGCATTTTTCCTGCTCTGATCTGTTTGCTTCTTCCAACCCCTTTCCTGAGCTGGATCCTGCTCATTCTCTCCTTGTTATTCCCTGTTCTTGTCCTTTCCCTGACTCTTGGTTTGCAAGGGAGGGGTCCTGGCTCCCCTGTCACTGTCACTTTGTTCCCTGGAGACCCCCAGCATTGACAGGCTGTGCTTTGCTCTCCTTATCCCCCCACTGTGGCTGCTCTAGAAGGTTCTTGGAGCCTTAGAAAGGTTCTGGGAACCTGGAATTTGTTTCTTCTTGGTCACTGGAGCTGAACTTCCAAGGCTGGATGCAAGAGGGTCAGGGCCAGACCTTGTTGTTATTGTGTGTGGGATCATGGGATGCTGGGTGTTAGGACAAATAAAAATACTAGTTAGGAAAGGGTGTTAGGATAGTAGATACTAAGAAAGTATGTTCTGAGGGAATTCTTTTTCATGTAAGGGGTGGCCAGGCACTGGCCCAGGCTGCCCACAGAGTGGTGGAATCCCAATTCCCTGAAGTGTACAAAAAGTGTGGATGTGGCTTTTGGGTACATGGTTTAGTGGTGACATGGGGTTGGTGCTTGTTGAAGGTTGGACTTGATCTTAAAGATTTTTCCAATTTAAACAATTGCACTATTCTATGGTTTTATGAATCCATGATTCTGTTGCTAAGACCTGGCTGCTGCCCTCTCCTCCTCTAACACCCCTCACTTTTCTCTCTCTGCAGGAAAGTGAGGATGGCATCGAAGGAGATGGTGAGTGGTGGCTCTTGGGCAGGGTTGTTTGTGTGCAGAAAAAGTAAAAACCAGACAAAATGGCTTTTCCAACAATCCTGTGGTTTTTGCCACGCCAAATATTCACTAGTAACAGCAGGCAAATGTGGGGTACAGGGACAGTGTCCCAGACTCTTCTTTGCTCCTCCTGAGCAGGCTGTGGCATTGATCCAGGGTGGTGCTGGCATCCAAATTCCCTTGGGGAGGGGTTTGGTGCCACAGCAGAGGAGCCATGTCCAGCCCTGCCCTGACCCCACCTCCTTTCCCTCCCCACAGCCGTGCTCTCTGACTATGAAAGCGCCGAGGACTCGGAGGTAAGGATGATCTCTGTCCTGCTGAGCCCCTGGTTCTCATGGAATTCCAGCACAAACCCAGTTTGTGTCCTTGGATCTCTTCCCCTGACCCCTCTGTCTCCTGAGGAAATTGCCTCCCCCACTCCCAGTCCCTGGCACTGGGACCAGTGTCACTGTGCTGCTGGGGAGGGTGCAGGGCCAGTACGTGCAAGGGAAAACCCTCCTGGCTCCTCACACTGGGAACTGGATTTGCCACGGCCAAGAAGGGCGTGGGAGGAATGTGGGATGCTTGTTGGGTTTTAATTAGTTGGAATTCAAAAGCAAAGTGGTGGTTGGGAGCATCCCAGGGGCTTCCCTCTGTTCTGAGGGAGCAGAGGGATGCACTTTGGGAATTGGGAGGTGCTGAAGGAATCCCATCCCACCCGTGCCTGGGGGCTGCAGGTTCCCCTGGATTTTTAGTTCAGAGCTCTAAAGTTTTGAGATTTACAAGGAGTTTAGAGAAGTTCTGGAGTCTAAGAATTATAGTGAAGGCTTTCTAAGGAAAATCCATCTGTGTTTTGGGACTCTTGAGGGAAGCAGTGGCTAGAGAACATCCAAACCACCAGGCAAAGGAAATCCAAGCTGTTTATTTGGGAATTAATCTCAGTTTGGAAATTAATCTATGGTATTAACGAGGAAGGAGCACTGCAGGCTGAAGAGGTGTTGGGGCAGCTCCCGGAGCTCTTCCAGCCTGGAATCCTGCGTGGAGGCTCCCAGTGGCAGCGGGGTTGTTGCATCACTGCTGTGCCAGGATGACTGTGTTCCTGTACCTAAAAATAATGCCCAGCCTGGGCTTCCCCGGCGTAAACACCGGGAGCAGCCCATGTGCAAAGGCTGTGTTGAAAGAGGAAAATGGAGCAGGGTTTGGTTAATCACCCCGAGCTATTTTTAGTTCTGCTCCAGCCTCCGGAGGCTCCTGGGGGTGAAACCAGGTCATGCTCCTGAGCAGAGTGAGTCAGCTGAGGAACTCCAGGGAATTTGGAAATGTGGCCCTGGCTGGATCCGGGCCCTTAGTGTGGAAGGAAGGGCCTAAGATCACCAGTCTTCCCAGTCTGCAGGAGGCTTTTTGGAGTGGTGGGATGTCACAGCTTTGTGGGGCAGCTGATCCCAGCTCTATTCCAGAAAGCCTGTTGGATCCTCCCTCTCTTGGGAGAGCTTGGGTTTAACTTTTGCTTTTCCTGTAAAAATACGGAGACAGGAAGAATTTTAGGAGTTAATCATCTGCTTTGGAAGAGTCATGTCTAACAGCTGGGACAGGGATCTGACTCCAGAACTGAGGGGATTTCTGGGCAGTCTCTTGCTGGTTCTGACTCCAGATCTGGGGAGATTCCTGGCAGATCTGTTGGTAACAGAGCATGTTTGAGTCACTGGGTGTCTCCCAGGCAGAGGAAGAGGATTACAGCGAGGAAGAAAGCTCCAAGGTGGAGCTGAAGCAGGACAGCAACGATTCCTGCGAGTCGGCGGCCAGAGGGGAGAAGGGGAATGAGAAGGTGGATCCCAAGGGAGCGGTGACGGGCGAGCGGCAGAGCGGGGACGGGCAGGTGGGTGTCCCACGGCTCCGGGCTGGGGGCTGGCAGCAGGACTGCTGCAGTGGTGAGAGCTCCCTGCTTCTGACAGGAGAGCACGGAGCCTGTGGAGAAGAAAGTTGGGAAGAAGGTTCCCAAGCACCTGGATGACGATGAGGATCGGAAGAACCCGGCGTACATTCCACGCAAGGGGCTCTTCTTTGAGCACGACCTCCGAGGGCAGACGCAGGAGGAGGAGGTCAGGTATGTGAGTGTCCCCCTGCGGCTCTGGGAGGGACAGGCCAGCTTCCAGGCTGGCCTTTCTGGGCTCCTTGCTTCAGTGGGATGCACTGGGAAGGCCTGTCTGCACTTCCACTACCTGCTCTGTCCTGCCAGGACTCTTCAGCTCTTTGTTTTGAAGGAGTGAGGCAAAAAACCCATAAAAAAAGCCTCATGCTAGGCAGCAGTGACTCTTCAGCTGCTTTTCTCA